AAAATCATGGGAGCTAAAGTTTAGCTAAACTTGTGGGATTTCTATATGCTGTAATACTGAAATCATGGGAGCTAAACTTGTGGAATTTCTATATGCTGTAATACTGAAATCATGGGAGCTAAACTTGTGGGATTTCTATGTACTATATCATGGGAGCTAAACTTGTGGGATTTCTATGTGCTGTAATATGAATCAAGAAGGAATAAATAAGAGGAGAGCAAAGCTAAATTTACATAGCATTGTATAAATATTTGAAGATTAGAAAGTGAGCTCTTTAAAACTGAATTGAATGCATACATCTCAATTACATCTCAGATACACGCACCATTAGATGTATTGAAGTAAGGTACACACCTCCAACCCCACCTGGAGTGTGCTTTGATCTCAGGTGACCAACTTCATCATTTTCCTTTTCTGAAGACACAGGTTGCTCTGCAACATGCGTCTGTTTTATCTCCTTTTCAATTTGTTTTTCATGTTCCATAGTTTCTCCAGGCTTTCTTTCCTCATATTCAAGTTTGATTCCCAGCTTGTTCTCCTCTTCCTGTTGTCTTAAAGTGACACCAGTGCCAGAAAAACAAATTGCAGCATCAGGATCCTTAATGTCGTGAGCAGTTATATGTGATCTGCAGTTAATAAGAATCACTTAGATTAACATATTATTCAAATATGTTTAAGATGAAATGCATGGAAAGCATGCACATGGATAGGCTTTCTGGTAAAAGAGAGACTTACATCTCTCCAGATGTCTGATCATCAATCATACACAGCACGTTACCACCACTGTCCTGTAAAAGTTGGAGTTAGATGTAAATGATATCTGTGTATCCTGAAGTTCTTGTAAGTGATAAATGACCGAAATCATCACACAGTTAAAACCTTTGAATCCTTGTTTTTCCTGTTCTCCTTGCTCTTTTTCTTATCCTTCGTCCTGTCTTGCATATGTCTTGAGCTATCCTCTCCTCCACCAGAACCCTGTACAAAATCAGCAGCAAGTTCCGCTAAAAGCGCTTCTCTGGCAGCATCAGATTTCTTTGTGGCCTCTTTCTCTGCCAGATCCTCCAAACGTGCCTGGAAAATGGTGAACGAAGAACCTCTTGTTTAACTGTAAAGGGAGAGTGAAAAGTTAAGGGGATGTTTACAAGATGGCAGTGTGCCAGATACTAACACGCAAATATGATTTCACAAGAGGCACCAAGATTGATCTGAAATCATGGGCAGCTGCCGGGTTAAGGTGAACTTCCAACTGATGCATCGAATTCATAACTCGCAGGATCCTTGCATCAATTTTACAGAGCTGTATCAATTAGAAAAGTGAGATAAAGCAGCAAAACGTTCACATAAATTGGTCCTAATTACAAAAGGATAAGAAGTTGAACTAACACACCAACCTCAATACCCACAAAGTCTTTCTGTTTCTGTATTTCAACGTCTATGCAGGAGTCCTGCTGCAAATAGTTTTTTATTATCCCATCATTATCTTCACCAGATTCTACAGGGCAAGGATGAGATTTCACAGCACTATAGATTTCCTCAAGTCCAGACTTGTTTACATTCAAGGACTCTGCATCCTTCAAAACACTTGCCAGTGCATCCAACTCAAACCTATTGCTGATATTGGACATTCCATTGTCATTTCCTTTGATCTCCTCTTGCCGCTTCCTCAGGACAGATTCATAACTTTGGGGGACATAATCTATAACATGCTCTCTTTTAATGCTCTCTTGGCAACAGAGATTATCCACAGCCTGCAATGCCTCATCGTAACTTAAATACTCGTATTTTCTATGACACAAGCCCTGCAAGTTATGAAATTCCTCCTCTAGTAACTGAAGAATTTCTTTACCTTGCCGTGTTTTCTCTTCCGTTTCAAATGTCCAGGATGTCAATCGTTCCGCACACAAGGGGCCCGTAAATATCCAGGTCAATAATGCATCTGAATCAAGTATTACATCCTCGTTCTCATAGCAGATCTGCGATGAAGTTGCTGAACTAGAATCATTATTACCAGCATCACTGCACAATGAAGAATTGAGATCAAGCACCAGAACTAAATCATCTGGTGTAAAATATATCTTCTCCACAATCTCAACATTCTGAGTGAAACTTTTATCAGAATATTTATCTTGTTTACAAGAAAAAATGTCGTGCGAAATTTCCTGCAAAAGAAGCAAGATTTTCTGAAGAGCGGAAGAACCCAGAAAGCAGATACACATAGGTGATTTGTCTATATTATAGTTAAGAAGCTGAGAACCATCAGCAAGACCCTTCAGCTCCTCCACTACAAAATGTATAACCTTGCTAACATGACTTGAGGCGAGATAGTTGCATTTGATAAGCCGCTCAAATGAGGTATGGATTCTGTTTAGGAGTCGCGCACGGTCTGAGTCGTCAGTTGAAGGCCAGCTTTTATAAAGGAAATTTTTCTTTGGGTCTTGATTATCATCTTTGTCATTTTCCATCCGCTTAACCTCTTCCAACTCCTTGCTTCCGGGTGTATTATCTTTGTCATTTCTTGGGTTCGACTCATCTAGGACATTAGGTGCCTCAAATTTTGACTCTTCTTTAAGCATCTTGATTGCAGCATTTAAATCCAATGGTTTCCAAGAACAATTAAGAATCATCTCATCCCACTCATCC